CGCCACCCGCCCCGTACCCCCCCATCCTGCCTCCCTATCTCACCCCTGGCCCCCTGCCCTGCCGGGCTGGGCTCCCCCCATTTGCCGAGATGGTTTCGAGGTCGCTGTCGGCTAAGACACCTGGAAATGGTCTTGCTGTGCAGTCTGCTCCTCGCCTGGCGGGCCACAGGCAGGGCGTACGCATACTCTTCTTATTTGGGTGACAAAAGCGAAAAAAAGACCTAGTTCTTTTCTGGAGCAGACGACGTCACCCTTGAGCCCACTGGCGTCAACAGCGAGACGCCGAGGTCGTTGACCCGCCGACGCGTCCGCTGCCCGCGCGCGCCACGCGTCTGAGAAGTCGTCTGCCGTCTCTCTCAACAGGTTTTTACACAACAACCGAATCACGCATTTGGCCCCGGGGATCTTCGACCACTTGGAATCTATGAAGAGACTGTAAGTGCGACACCTTCGTGCCGTCTTTTCCGCAAAGCCGGGCTTCTCCGTGCCTGGCCTCCTCACGGGGGTCGCGGAGCGTGCGCCCCGCGGACTGGGGGGAGGTCACGGGAGGAGGGCGGGTCACACTGAGCTGATCTGAGGTCTCCCGGCCACGGGCAGCAGGCTGATTCTTTAAGCGTCGAGTAAGACGTTTTTAAAGTCGATTCTGAATTCTTCAGATAAACGTCACTTCCGCGCTGTGTGTTTTACTGGTGGGAGTGACTCAGGCTGGAAGGACCCCTGTGCCCCCCGTTCCTTCTGTTGGGCTGTCTACGCACGTGAACGTCCCGCAGGCCGACGCGTGTCCAGCTTTCCGGCCTCTGCAAATAGCTTTTCTCGCGCCGGTGGCCTCGGTGCCGGCGGGCGGGCCTGTGCTTCCTTCCGGGGCTTTTCCTCAGCGTCTCGAAGGCCACGTCTTTCAGTTGGTGTCACCGCAGGGCACAGTGAACTGGACTTAAGAGGGACGTAGAAAACTCCAGTCACGCAGCCGAGATCCTGAGTGGGCTGGTCCTCATGTCATCTCTTCAGTGAAATAAAAGATGGGGCTTCCATCGCTATTGCTGTTCATGATGTTTTTCTTTAGGGTAAAGAAATTTCCAGCCAAATGAGAATTCACATACTGGGGGAAGATATAAATACTTCCCTATTTGAAAGGGGACAAAATAGCAAAGAAATTTCCAGAAATAACCGGGACAGCTCAGGGCAGGCCAGCGAGTTAATGGAGTCTGGACGGGGCCGACAGCCGCTGGTGTAGACCAGGGCCCAGCCCTGTCTTCACTCCTGACTCTGCTCATCTGTGGAACCCTAGGTTTTGGGCCTCGGGGAGTCGCCCTCCTGTCATCCCAGACGCCCGAGGAGAGTGGGACCTGGTGGGCGTCCTGCCTGGCTCCTAGCCCAGGGGCGACTGGCCAGCGTCACGTAGCAACTCTCACCCGTCCGGTTCCCCGCTCCGCCCTGGGGCCTGTCACAGAGAATCTGTTATTCAGGGCCTGTCACACGGGGAGCGGGTTCGTGTCGTCCCCATCGCACGACCCCCCTCCCCCCGCCGTCCCCCCAGAGCTCCAGGCACAGTGGGTGGCGTCCTCTCTGCGCTGAGCCCAACAGCTCCCGCTGCAGGCAGTCATCACGAAAATGGCCATGTGGGTGGGCCCGCTGCTGTCCCCCGTTCCCCTCGCAGCCCGTGGGCTGAAGAACCGCGGGTGGCAGGGGTGACGCCACAGGCCTCCATCTCCCCGGGTGGCCCTGGGCCTGGGTCATGGACTCAGAGGACGGTCAAGCCAGCCCCTCGCCCTGCACCTCGTCTCTGGGGCCCGGGAGCCCCTCCCCCGAGAACGTGGCCATGCCTGCCTCGTGGGGTTGACAACGGCCAGAGTGCCGGTCACCAGCGCCCGCTGTCTGCGAGCGGCCACCGTCCTGTGCTGGCAGCTACTGCTTACCTCTGAGCCTCAGCACATAGCCTTCTTTCCTGGGGTGGCGGAGCACCCTGCCTGAGTCACACTGTGAGGACAGGTGGCCCTCGCTGCATGTGCACTGTCCTTTCCAGATGACGTCAGTCTGTGAGACTTGTGCCTCACGAGCTGGCTTTGGAAATGACCCCTGGCCACGAGTGCAGCTCCACTGTCACACCTTGGGGAGAGCTGGGGGTCACGTGAGGGTCACGGAACGCTGCGGTGCCTCCAGCACTGGGATGGTGCTGGGCGGGGCGACTTTATTGGGGCCCTGTTTGTGACGCGTCGAGCCTGTGTTTGTCCCTGTTTTGAAAGGGAGTCGTGCGGTATCTGATGGCCTGCGTACCCCGCCCTGCCCTCAGCTGCTTCTGTCTGTTGCCACGTGGCCATCTGCTCGGTTCCCCCTGTCGGGCAGGCCTGGGCCAGGCTCCTTCCTCCGCCGCGGGTGCCAGCGCCCACTGGTCCCGCGGGTCTGTCCGGGATGGTTGGCGCCTGCTCGCCTTGTGTCTCACTGGCTGCTCCTCACAGGCGACTGGACTCGAACGCGCTTCGCTGTGACTGTGAGATCCTGTGGTTGGCGGACTTGCTGAAAACCTACGCCAGGTCAGGGAGCACGCAGGCAGCGGCCACCTGCGAGTACCCCCGAGGCGTCCAGGGCCGGTCGGTGGCCACCATCACCCCAGAGGAGCTGGACTGCGGTGAGCGGGCGGGCGGCATGGTGGGGACCCTCCTGTGCCCCACGGACCCAGGAGGAACCAGCTCTGGTACCGAATGGGGGTTTTGTTTTGAGGTTCCCTGCAAAAAACAGCAAAACGGGACGCAGCACCACCGCCTCCCGTGGCCGCCGTCCAGTCGGCCGTGAGCAAAGGCGGCAGGCCCCTGGTGGGGTGGCGGTCGGTGGCGCACACGCCACGGGGTGGGGGTCATCCCTCTGAACGTGCCCGTGCCGCCCAGCACCGTCCGCATGAGCTGTCGTGGGAAGGAACAGGCCGACCCTTCTGTGAACCCCCGTCTCCCCTTTCCTTTTAATTCCGGCCCCGTCCTCCGGGTGCCGACGCTGGGTTTCCGGGTTTTCCAGAGCATCAGTGTTGATTTTTACACGTTAGAGACAAGCAGTGAAAATTAAAAACCAGTGCATTTCACACACGACCCCACCAGTAACAGAACCGCGCTCGTCATCTGTCGCTCGTCATCTGTCGCTCGTCATCTGTCGCTCCTGCCTGCCTGCCAGATGCAGCCTCTCGCGCTCAGGGTGGCTGTAGCTGAAAAGTACTGTCTCTCGCTCCTCCACTCACTGAGAGCCGCTCCTCGTGGCGTGAGCAGTGTGCACACGGGCTCGTGGCGTGAGCTGCTCGCGGCGTGAGCAGACTGCACAGGGTTTTCCTCCCCGTGAGGCTGTGAGGGCACTGGACGCTGGTCCCAGATGTCTCAGAGTCGGCCCGTCCGAGGTCTCTCAGTACCAGAGGAAGCTGTGTGGGGTTTGCCCCCAAAGTGCTCTCCGTGGAGAAGCCCGTCTGCCCTTTTTGGGGGACGTTTGTGGCTGAGATGGAGCTTGAAGAACTGTGATCGGCTCACGACCCGGGTTTGCTTTGGGGCCTTGCTTCCTGGGTGGGTTAAGACAAAAGGTCTTTGTTTCTTGTCACAGAAAGGCCCCGGATCACATCGGAGCCCCAAGACGCCGACGTTACCTCGGGGAACACCGTGTTCTTCACTTGCAGGGCCGAGGGCAACCCCAAACCTGAGATCATCTGGCTGCGGA